CTTTTTGTTTTTGGGTAAAGTTATATTGAAACTTTAATCTTTTACAAAAATACATACATACATATGTCTAATTGTACTTTTATTAAATTTCTTATATAAGTATTTTAATAGTAACAATTAAATTTCAATGGACCATTTTAAAATGAATAATAAATGAAGAGGTATGGGTATAATTAGAAAAAAAAAATTATAAGAACTCCTACTGGGCACAAAAAGTGCTTTCAACTATTTTACTAGAATCAATGATTGACAATTAACTCATAAATATGTCTTAAGATAAAAAATGTCCAACTTTACCCTTGTTACAAATAAGAAGAGAGATACATAGTTTATGATGAGCCATAACATTAAGTTTACAATAGGAGTAAAATTTGAAAATGATAATAAATAATTCTCTATGTGTTTTATACTTATTCTATCCTAAATTATAAGATACAGTTGAAAAATATTCGTCATTTCAAAATATAATACACTTTGACAAAACTAAAGTTTCATTAATAATATTTTTCCTATTATATTCTCTCTATTTAATATTCTTTCATAAATGGTGTGTTAAATAAAAGGCATTTTTAAAAATTTATATTTTTTTTTAAAAATAAAGTTGTAAAGTGTATTTAATAAATTTTATTGATATATTTAATTTTATTTAAAAATATTTATAATTTAAAATGAAGAGTATCAGCTAAGGTCTAAATAATCTTTTTCGAATGTGCCTTGTAAGGAGAATAAGAGAGAGTATTTGGATAAAGTAATGATTTAAAAAATTTCCTATATTATGGATCATAGGGATAATTATCTGCAACGAGTGTGTTTCAATTCTTTGTAAGTTATAGTTCAAATTAAATTACATAAGGCTAATTTAGGTGGTAAAATTAAAATAGAATAAGATGTAAGAATTTATGCTGTAAATTTAAATGCATGCATGATTGAGCTCCTTCAGGTCTTACCCCTGAAGTCCGAGTCTCCCTTATCATCTTGAATTGATCATGTTAGAATAAATGATTTCTGGTCTATATTTTCAATGGTTAGGTTATAAATATGCCATTCATTCCAAGAATAAACCTTTCACATGAATATCATTTGTTCCGTTTAAGGAGGGAAAATGATTGTGCTTTTTCTTTATAAGATGTAGCTTTGACATATATTTCTGTATGACCTCATATTTTTAATGTGAATCTAGATTACTTCATTATTATAATATTCAAATTCAAATCAAGAATTTGTGTGTCTATCTGGATACCGAAATTTTGACAAATAAAGGAGGAAAAAAATGTTCGTTCCTCACATTCGTGCGTGTTGAATATTGACTCATTTAACACCTTTAAATTAAACCTTTAAATTATACATTCTTTAACTAAAACAATTTCACACTAGCTAATATTTGATGCTTTCTGAATCTGTAATTAATGCCGTATTGAAAATCAAATAAATTAAAGAGTCATGTCTGTTTATACCTACCCACTAACTGGGTCTCAACCTCTTATACAAAACGTAGGTGGATATTGTCCTATACATATATGTTGATGATATATATTTTCGTACATACACACTTAGCACCCACTTCATGAGGGGTGTACATGCTGTGATATATGCTTGAATTAATTACCTTTATGAGTGAATATTGGGAAAATCACCGTAGAGTACACATAAAAATTCTAATTAATTCCCAAAAAATCCTACCAAATGCACAAATGATATGAGATCTCTAGAGACTTAGTTATGAATAGGATTAGACACAACGACCAATTTGTCTTGGTTGAGTTAAAGGAAAGAGGGATACGCACCTTTTTCAGATCAAGGACATTTTGGTTAATTTATAGAATATCTTATTTCCAGCTAAGTTCATAGGGAGCTAAGCTATTTGTACATTTGGTGAAACTTTTGGATAATTATAGTGCTTATGGTGGAGACTTTATAGTAATATTTTTAAAAATTAAACTAGATATTAAACTTAAAAGGTCAATAATTTATGGTTTGCATGGTCCAACTAAGTTAAATAATGATTGAATCGATGATATAATAATTAAATTAAAAAATTATATCTGTATATAATAATTTAAATATAAGAAATAAATATAAAATTGTTACTTAATTTAAAAAAAACTAGATATTTTAAGTTTATCATGACTTAACAGATCACATGATACAACATAATATCAAATAATTAAAAAAATTGATAAAAATTTTTTCTAAAAAAGAAAAAGGGCATGTTTTTGAAAATTGGATTGGTTCTTGGTTTGATCGCTGGTCCAAAGTGGCCCAATCCTATCCAACTCTCCAAATGATTTTTTCAGCTTGATTGAGTCGTTAGCCTGACCAGTCGACGGTCTAACTGATCCGATCTTCTGGTTTGGTTTGATTTTTTAATCATTGCTTTATAGTAGTGATTTTCCCATGAATATTTTTGGCAAAAATATAACTTTTGGTCCTTGATTTTTTTTTCATTTATCAATTCAATCATGCACCAAACTTGAAACAATTCAATCATTATAGTTTTGTAATTTAGAACAACTCAATCCCTATATATTCTTAACTCAATAAATTGTAAGGATTGAATTGTATTGAGTCAAAGATCAATGATAAAACTAATACTCCTTCTGTCCTCATTTATAAGGTATTTTTGGCAAAATTATATATATCAATAAAAGTTTATTAAATATAGTTTACAATCTTAATTTTTCAATAAACTTCCAAAAATGCCATTTATTAATAAGAAAGAGATCAAAGGAAAATTATTTATGAAGTACAATAATGAGGATAATATTAAAATAATCATCGTTAATAAAATTTTATTTTTTTTCAATCATCTTATATATTGAGACACCAAAGTAAAATATCTTATAAAATAAGACAGGGGAATAATTGGGAGAAAGTTTAAGAACTAAAAGTCATGTTATCCCAATATGTTTTGTAAAGACTAATGTTATTAACTGCCTGGAATTAATTATTAAGAAGGCACTTATTAATAATGTTGATCAATAAGTTATAGATTAATTAGTAGCTAGTTTGTCTGTAAAAGAATGTGACATGCATGACTCTCTATCTACATGGATTGCCCGAAAAATGAAAGGAGAAAGAGGGGCATAATGGTAAATAAGAGGAAGAGGGACAAAATTAATAATATAGAAGTCAAAAAGGTGGTAGTTTGTAGTCTATCCACGTGCAGTTGTGAAGATTGTAAGATAAAATGTTATGTTAGTTACGCCTGAAAACTTATCAAAACCTAAAACACATCCTCCCTCCCTCCCCATGACTTCCAAATATTTGTCTAACAACATTACCAAACCCCACATTTATTATTTTTATTCTTTTGTCCTACGTATATCGATCTATACATTAATTAATATTGGATAGACATAAAAATTTTAAAATATAAATCATTATCAAGTTCTACGAAATTAATTACTTCCTTGTGCTTCTTGAAGTATATATATTACTAGATTATTTTGTCTTTTCAGATATTACTTTGGTTTTTATTATTAAAAAGTAGTAATAAATTCAAAAAAATATATGGAGAAGAATAATTTATCAATTTATAGAGGGCATATAAATTTATTTTTATAATTTTTAATTAAGAGGAATTTTAATTTTTTTAAAAAAATACTTAATTGTCAATCCTCTCATACTACAATAGTTATTGTGATTATTTCAGTTAAATAAGCCAAAATATGGGGATTACATATATTCAGTTTTTTTAATATTCTATTTACATATTATTTCTGTTAAATCAAACAGTAGATCATATATATAAACGTGCACCTTAATTAGCCACCAAATGACGTTACTCTAAAAGAAAGTTGAGACCTCAGAGAGTCTTGGGACGTCTCTAGTGGGCTTTTATATTCACACATAATAATAATAACAATAACATGATATCATATATTAATCAAGGCAAGCAAAGTGGTATACGTTTTATTTTTATACATGTTGATGTCAGAAAATCAAATCAACCCGTCTGCAAAAAAAAAAAAAATTGATATAGTTTGAATGTAATGAGATTGGGGAATGCATAATAAAATAAAAAATGGAAAAATGATCGAGTGAGAGAGGCTTGGTGGGTTATAAGTAGACGTTGTAGGTTAGAAACTTGGAAATTAAAGACGTTGAAAGCAGAACCAAACTCGCTCCACTAAGCAACCTCTCTTTCTTTTCTTCTTTATTTCCCCAACATCCATCCCACATATACATACACACACACACATTAATTAATATATGCGTCTCTGTGTCCGTGTCTCTGTGTGTGTGTGGGTATATATATATAAGAGTTACTCATATAGGAGTTTGTTAGCCAAAACGTTTGCATCAATCGCTGGTGCAAGGTCTGTCCAAAACTCCCCACTCTCTAACGGAAAACACTTCCCCACCATATATCTCTCTCTCTCTCTCTTCGTCTTCGTTCTTCGTTCTTGCTTTCTTCTTCGCTCTTATCTCTCTCGCTTCACTTGCACAGTTTCTAGCTAGCTGGCAGAAGGAGATAAGATCGATTCTGCAGAAGAGGAAGAGGAGGAGGA